CCCCCCCCCCCCAAAAAAAAAAATTGCAAATTTTTTTGCTCTTCCAAAGCTTTTGAAATTCAATTTCTCTCTTTCTTACTAACCACCCAAAATCTATTTTTTATTGATATTGTGCAGACGAAATTCAAAATATTGCTCTAGAATCAAGTTGTGGGTAAGCGTTGAATCTTGTTTTCTTTCTTTCTAAAATCTTTATTATATGTGACTTATATATGATACATCGATAACCAAAATAATACTCGATACAACACTAATACAATTATAATACGATTATATTAAATTTTAGTGTATAGTTGTGATTGAAACTTGAAGAAGATGAAGATCATAATTCTTTCATAATTTTTCAGAAATGTATCGTGATTGTATTATAACTGTATATGTATCATAATTTTGCAAGAATTATATTACAAATGTATGATAGTTGTATATTCATTGTATATTGTTATGAGCAATTGTGCCTTCGTGACGAATTTCACAGTTTGTATCACAAGTATAATAATTGTATATTAATTTGTTAGTATTGTATCATGTATTATTTTGGTTATTAATATGCCAGATACAAGTTAAATACAATTGTGATACAAGTATGATACATTTATGTTTTAGGCATTGATGTATTTGATGCAATTCCAATATAATTATGATACAATTATCATAAAATTTCAGAATATGCGTTAATAATATAAAGCTATCTATGATGGTGGAAAGAGAGAAGATGGAGATTCGGGGATTAAATTAATGAATTTTGATGTAAAAAAAGGAGAGAGAAGAGGAGAAGGGGAAAAAAAAAGGAAATGATATAATTGAATCCCTTAATTGAAGGCATTAATAATGGGGTAGGATTCTTTTAAGAATCAATGTATACAATTTATAAGAAAAACCTAGATACTTATTAAAAACTTCAAAACATAGAGAATATAGGTAAATAAATTTCTAATATAATATAACTAGGTAAAAATTCCAGAAAATATCGAAACAGAACCATATGATTAGAATTTCATAATGCCGTTGGTTGAAATAAGATATCATTTTTAGTATCCTTTCGGTAATACAAAGGTTAGATCCACTTTTTCAGACGGTGCTTTGGTGACATTCTCCTACTTAACAGTTAATTACCACTATCTATCTCATCTTTATCAAATGAAATGTGTCTAGTCTGAAGTTCCTGATTCAACTCCCTATGAGAGTAAACACAAAATCATACAACCATATTCTGTTTAGTGAAAGAGATGATTTTATTAGGGTTTTATGGCAATTATTAGTTAGAAAAATGAGGTAAGAAATTGTTTCGGGTAAGGGGGCTCCGAGGGGTAGATTCTGGACAAAAGTGGACAGGCTTGTCTGGTCTGTCGACACGTTGGCATGGTCCCTATAATAAGCTTGATGTCCTTCTACAAAGGACTGACTATAATGTTACAGAAGATATCAATAAGCTAAGAGTTTTAATGAGATGAATATAGTTTCTCTATTCATAATATGAAAGTCTCGAAAATGAATCTTGAGAACAAAAAGGTTCTGCGAATTTCAATTAATCGACACACTAAAATGGATACAAATTACGAGATGAGAAATGATGTCGTGAGATAATTTCATATATTTTGACATTATTTACCTTTTTTGCTTGTTGTTTGGATGATAATTTGTGGGACGATTGCACTTAATAGAGCTTATTTCATGTGTAGGAATGCTTGGACATGAATTGAAGAAAAGTTGCATGAAATAGTACCTCAGAGTAACAAAATGGAGCAATAAAAGAAGACGTGCAAGGCTACGAAAATTCAGTACCATAGATAGAGCCTTGCACGGTAACAATAGTGCCATAGACAGTGCCTTGCGCCGAAAAAATAGTGCCACAGACAGTGCCTTGCACCGAAATGACAGTGCTACAGGCAGTGCAAGGCGCCATCAATGCCATTCGAAAAAAAATTAATTCCTCATTAGTATTGGACATGTAAATTCGACCCTTACCCTATAATTACCCCTAAAAGTTAGTTTTTGAAGGGTTAGACACCATTAGAGAGACAAGAGGCTACAAAATACTTTGGAATCACGAGTCGCTCGAGTTTTTCTCTCCACTTTCGTTTTATTTGTAGTTTAATGCTTCTAGATATTAATATGATTATTTACACAATTATGAGTGGCTAAACCCGTCACCTAGTGTTGATGGAACCAATAGTTGGATGAAGTCTTGATTGTGTTTTGATATAATTGAGTCGTTATTACTCTTTAATTGTTCAACTATATGTTTCTTGTGATTAATTGAAGGGTCCTTGATTAATCGTGTCTAGTTATCTTGTGTTGCTTGAGAAAGAACACGTGATTAGATTGTTGTTGACCAACACCACTTTCGAGTAAGTTAAGAGATTAATTACTTGAATTTAAAAGCGGAATTAGAGATAACGAAGCTTTGGCGCAATATTTATGAGTTGTACGAATTGTAAACTAGAGTAGTTTGAGAGAATACTTGTAGTAAATTATCGTAATTGATCGAGAGATAATTGCGGTAAACAAGAATTCATCATCTTTAGAGAGTGTTACGGCGAGATTGTAGCTAACGTGTCAGGAATTAATCCAACAATTGGGGAAATCGTAAACCCTAGATCCTTTTATCCTTGAATTCAACTTCATTCTTGCTCATTGATAGTTTTTATTGTCATTTTTCCTTAGTTAAATAATTTATGTTAATTCTCAAACCAAATTCTGAACTCTGAAAGTTGTCTGAGCTTATCATTAGCGATACTAAAAAGTTATAGCAAATAGGTTAGTTTCTTATGGGATTCGACTCTGGACTCTTGAACCAGATTATTTTTGCAGCGATCGCTTAATTTTTTTTATAAGGCATAATTGGACTTGATCAAGAAAAAAAAAAAGTACCGAAGATTTCTTCGATCACAAAAGAATACGTGCGAGGGAAGTTGGAGGTAAGCTATATTTGTGTGCGAGTGAATTAATAATTGAGACTTGTGACTTGTAATTATCAATCTACTTATTTCCTTTTTTCAGGACTCTTTATTATATATGCTGCTGACACCAGAAATAATGAAGGATTCTGATACTAACACTGAGGTCGACCCGTCCCTTTTGCGTTCCTCCACATGGGCTAAATGGAGTCTATGTTCAATGGATTCAAGTCAATCCAATAATTTGACACAAAACGTGTGCGTGAGAAAAAAAAAATATTAGACTACAATTTTAGTCTATTTTTTTGTCATTATTATTAAAAGGATGAATATCAGTAATTGAATACTATATGAAACTTTTGAATTTCCGTTATTTTAAAAACCAGAAATAATATGCCGCTGACTTAAAATATTGAACATCCAGTATATTCATATGTCTGTGTAACCAAACAAAGACTTCTGGTTTAGTCCCAGATTCTTGGGTTTCATATGTCTAAATGCAATTAACATGGATGCCAATTTGCTTAGTGGTCCAATATCTCCATGGCTTTCCCAACTCTTCATTGAACTTGTCAGGGAATCAGCTTTCTCTAAAAATTCCAACATCTTTCTCCACCTCTAAAGGCAAAAATATCCTTGATTTTTCAAGCAATTGGGGCCTATATATCAGATCTGTGTCCATGCTTACAAAGTGGCATTGCTGGAAATAATAGCATTTGTCATTCGTTGTCCAAAGGGTGTCAATTAACATCACTTTCCTGGAAAAATTTATACTAAATCATTTTAAATGTATATATATTATATATTGA